ATATACTCCAATACAAGATATAAGTAACTTTCTCCATTATAAATGTATTCTCCAAAGCAAGCCCAAGCATTTCACCTTTCACATCATTTTATTTAATTACACCGAATGCTGGGTCAATCGTTAACCGAGGTGTAGTCGTGGGCTTAATACAGATCGTACAATTAACATAGTCGTGTAGGAAGTAATTATTTTTATTACATTAACCTTACGTACTCCAATGAAATCTAAGCATTGATCACCTCCAAAACTATATTCGTTATATGTGACTTTCCCCACGTTCTATGTAAATCATCTTTACGCTTTTAAGAACAGGTCACCCTTGGTAGGTTGCCTTCTAAAGCCCCCACCCTCTCCGTTTCAAGGTTAGCCGTTGGACAAACTTGCTTTAGCAAGGTCGTCCACATACGCAGTATTTGACTTAAACAGGTTGCGCAGAGCATTTTTATTATTTCGTATGTACAATTATTTTAACACTAAAAATGTATAACATTGACAGTTTCACCACTTTCACCAGTTTCAATATTAAGTATGAATATTATAAAAACTGATTTTATAAATTTATATAATAGCTAACTCTCTTTATTTTTGAGAGGATTGTTATTAGACATCATCTGTCTAAGTTTTGGATGATGTTTGGAGCTGCTAGATGCTGAAAACCTGCGCTTGCAGTATAAAACATAGACCAAAAAACTTCCTAGACAGATACACTTCATTAACAATGGCATTCAAGTATACTCTCCTTTATTTAAACCTTCTCTCAAGTAAGAACTTTCTTTATTCTTGTCTTACAGTCTTACATAATCTAATTCAAACCTCAATATGCCGCCTTTCAAACTTATTATTTCATTCAATTCTAACACAAGTTATGCTGGGTCAATTGTTTTCTACAGTGTGGTTGTTGACTCAGAATAAAGCACATAATTAACATAATCAATACAAAAATTAATAACTTTTTCCATCCTATTCTCGAACACAAACCAAAACAAATAACCTTTCACACTTACCATTTTCTTCAATTCCACCAAAAGTTATGCTGGGTCAATCGTTTACAGAGGTGAGGACGTTGATTGTATAGAACACGTAATCAATACATTCGCTAGTGGACATAAACAATTTTCTTCATCCCTACATACAGTAGAATAGGTGGTGCACACATGTTCAGAACATATCATTATACAATTTGATACTTAGTACTATGATCCCTTAGTTAGTTCTCTCTTGATCGAGCTTAAGTCATCAATATGGTAAGTAAAGTATTACTTATTTCTGTAAATAGAAATACTCCCCTAATAGTTAACCTGTTATGTTAACTAGTTCTTAATATACTTCTTTATAAATTGTTAGGAGAGTTAACTATTTAGTAAATGCCTTGTTCTTCATCCAATACGAATGTTATTTTGGTTGTTTTTATGTTATTAAAATAAAGGTTATCATCAATGTGTGTTTTAAGTTGTGCACAGTTTGTTTCTCTCTCAAACTCAGTCAAATTCAGAAAACTCTGAATTAATTCACAATAAATATCTTGTCGAGTATCCTGTTATTTAGCAGAACTATCCCATCATCGAAAGGCAAATCAGTTTGACCTGAATAAACCACACCAGTAATTGGATGATTTTATGAACGTGAGCATCAATTACTGTTAAAATCTGAATTTTATTACGATGACGTAAAGAGCATTTCGTTAAATTTGTTGGTTATCTCTCAAAGTACAACAACAGAATAAGAGAGGTCTGGGAAAACATTATTACACGTCGTGACATCAAGACAATATTTTAATCCCTAATATACTATATAATTTCTCAGTATATCATAACTAAGATATAAACAAATAGTTGTGCATTATCAAGGAACTCTACTAACTTTTTTTTCCAGCAATTATGTGTTGTGTGATTCGCACTTTAAACAATGATCACTTTTGTTTATTTTACCCTGTAACTCGAGTGCAACCTGTTGCCCAAACAGAAATTTAACTCCTTTTACAACCTGATTAGCTCGAGATATTCTACATGATTGTTTGCAGAAAGTTGGATTAAATGAAATACATTATCTAATTAGCCAAGCTAACTTCCAGGCATGATTAATACACATTGTCATCTTTTAAAAATAATTGTTATACATACACGCCATGTTTGTAATGGACACTTAGCTACTGATAATGATTATATACAATTCATTAATGAAACTAATCGAGAATCTTCAATTCAGGACAAAGATCTTTGTTTAAGTATAATAAAACACCCACTTAATCGCTTTTCACACTGAAGGGGTAATCATTCATTCATTCTTTAGTTTGAATCTCCTAGGAACTTCGAGACTGTAAACAATCTCAGTACATTGTTAATGTATTGGAAGAACTGAGACATTTATTTGTTTACTGCACTGTAGTGAAAAATTTACTCCTAAGTGGTATTGTAATCGCCCTTTCACAAGTCCTACATGAGTTTAGAAACCTAAAATTTACTATTTGTTTTAATAGCCCAACAATCTTGTTATATGTATATATATACACGTTCTCCATTAATAGAAAAAACAAAAGTCATGGTTTATCTGGTAAAAGCTATCATAAAGACTCGTGCAGTTTAGTAAGAGTTGGTTAGCAGAAAGCATCAATGATGTCATGGAATTTTGAAAACGCTTCTCTCTGCTTCTTTTAAAGTTTGAAGGGAAACGTGTAGAAAAGATAAGTGGTGACTTGCAGTGCATAATTAATGGCAGATATATTAAAAGGAAGAAAATGTCAAAGAGGCCCAAAGGCAGATCTCGTAACTTAGATGATAATTAGTGTCAGATGAGACAGAAGCAAGTAAAATTAGGTTTGGACGGAAAAAAGAAAGGAGCACAAAACAATTTAATAAAGAACCTATAAATTGACGTAAACGTCAGAGAAGATATTTTTACGAGTATCCTCCATCCTTTGACTTGCAAGTGTGTGAAATCCAAATCAGATCTTTTAGTGATACCTTCCACCCACACAAACATTTCTGGTAGCCAAATTATAGAATATATGCCAATAGTCAACAGAATTACATTTAAACATCTAGTGAGAGGAATGACGTTACTGATTTGGCAAATATATGTTAATGTAAGAACACTTCAGTTCGATAACACAAATCATCGATATGATAATCACGTCTCTCCCACTAGCAATCTTCTTCAAAATCTGTTTTCTCAAGTTGATGTTTATCTTAATTGTCTTCGTATAATGGATTATATTCCTACAGCTCTTATTTAGAAACACTTTTAAGTTATATGCAGGACTCTAAACATTTCTTTCTTTCTGGGGTTTTGTGGCAGCCTATGTAGCACCTTGAATCTGTTATGTCTTACACCTAAGTCCGGAACATTCTGGATCTGAATGAGTATTTGAGAGCGTTATTCACTATAAATATGAATATTTCAATATTCATGGTCTAACTCTTTATATGAGAATATTTACTGTATTCTGTAATATACAACACTGCATCAGAAACACATGGTCGATTTTTTACCTCTGCAATTTGGTGATCACTGTTTACCCAAAGTACCTTCGCTTTTGAACTCAATTTAAACAAAAACAATACCAGAGGACGATACTCTGGTCAGTTACGGATGATTATACCTGAACCTTGGGGTTTCTGACGTGGCCGTTTAGGCCATTCTCGCATAAAGTACCGTTCTCTATACTTTGGTAGAAATTACCAAACGCACAGTGTGTCCTAAAGTCACATTGTATTTCGTCAAAAATATATTGGAACGATTTATTTGTTCATTTACTGATATGCATTAAACTGGTCCTGCTCTTTCAACCGATTTGTTTCTGAAGATTCAAATGCTATTGACTAGCTTCAATACTTTATCATATCACGTCTGAAACTGTTGTGTTAGTTTGTTTTTCTACTAATGTGTTCAAGATTAAATAGAAGCATAGTATTAAACAATCCTTTATTTGGGTGCACAACATAAATATTTTAACACTTGGTAAAAAAATATATCATCAGACAGATACTCTGGCAAAATTTCAAGCATCGTCGTCACTAGGTTCTGTTACCAAGTTTTATAATAATATAAACATTGTACGAAAGGATTCCGATCGGTTAACTTACTACTACATATTAACAAAATGGAAATTATTTTATGTATGATATCGCCATTTTTTATTTACTGGCGAAGTAACTTTGTTATATCTGAATACAGATTTATTGTTGGGTAGCAAGGGCTGTATCGACGAAATGGTTGTCCATCTTTACCTATCAGGAATTTTTCAAAGTTCCAGCTAATGTCAGCACGAGTCACAGGAGACCAAATAATACCTAGGGAATTCTTCATCAAAGATACTGGGTCATCGTGGGGTACTGGAAGTTTTTCTCGTAAATACTGAAATACCACATGACTTTTTTCACCGTTGACATCCACCTTCTCGAATAAAGTGATTTTCGTTTCGAAAGAATTACCTGGTCGGACGAACTGAAGAGTTTTCATTATCTCGTCACCATTACCATTCTCCTGAAATGGTTCAAATAATCCATTTATTTTAGTAATTGTTTATAAAAACCGTTAGATATTTTCCTTAGATTTGTTTACAATGTTCAAAATACGTGAGCGTTTGTATAAATCTGTATTTTATTATGCATAAGCCCAGCCAAACATATACATAATAAAAATATTAATAAAGCACGAGCTACTGTTTTCAGATGATCAATCATAACATTTGGAAGACAAAACGAACTGCTTCAACTTGTACATAAACCTAAATTTACTTCTATTAGTTCCACGTGTGTGTGTGTGTGTGTGTGTGTGTGTGTGTGTGACTAACATACTTTTATTTTTACAATAGTGTTAGAATACCCCGACTGGAATCTTTGGTTTCAGTATTTGTAATTCAAAAAACATATGGAAGCTGATTCTAAACAAAGTAGTGTCAACAAATTTTTACACATAATTTGTTATTTATATTGTTAAAATTTACTGGACGAGGAAGCAGACAAAAACCAGTTTAAAAAAATGTATGCACGAGTTTCAAGGTATAGAAATATTTGCATGTATGTGTGTAAATATAGAGAATTGCTAACATCATTAAATATTGTATTTGAATGAAAACTTGACGTCTTTTGTTTTTCATAGCGTATGTATCACTGTCGAATGTAAATTATTTCTGTCCTGTACCGCCATATTGTAAAAGTTTATTATAGTTCATACATAATCTGCAGTGACTACTTTCACTGTAGAAAACATTAATAGCAACACAATTAAAAAAAAATGTATGTTTAAAATGGGGTAAAATAACCTGTTTTTAATGCAAGGCTAGCGCAAATTTTAATATTAAGTTCATTTTTAAATTATATTTCAACTTCAAGACTGCGTAACTAAATGAAGAAAATAATACGATGTAGTGATTTTCTAAATTACAAAACACAAACACTAAACTTCGCAATAATTTATCACAAGATGATTAAAATGTTACCTGATGTCCAAACTGGTTGCACGGAAAACCCAGCACAGAAATCTTATCTCCAAACCTAGCTATAAGATCGTTCATTTGGGTGTAATCCCGCACCGTTGTTCCTCATAACGAAGCAACGTTCTCGACCAATACTACCTTCCCTTGAAATTTTGTAAACTTCACTAACTCACCCGTTAACGTTTTGGCAGCTAAGTCATAAAAACACTTGGCAACACTCATCCTATAACAAGATATAAACGAACCACAGAAGAAATTGTGTACTTTAGTAAAAATCAAATCTTTTACAGGTTTATACTCGTGGCTAATTTTTCGGAACAAGCGTCACACTTATGAAGTTCGTATTGTTTCCTATAGAGGGTCTGTAAATGAATACTTTTCTGAAAATATTAAAATAAAAAGTGGCGAAGCAGCAAGAAAATAAATGCATATACATAAATATATATATATATCAGTTATTACTACCTGCTGTTCATTACTAAAAGTGAGAACAAATAATTAGCACACACAAAAGCAAATTTGATAGTTCGAGTTCTTAATAAAACACGGTTCTACCCTGTGAGCTCTATATGATTTAACCGCCATTCACAGGCCTTATCAGTAGAGCTCAATTTACTCGTAGGTACAAGTGCCAGAAAAATGACACACAACTGTTGTGTTTTGGGGTACTCAAACGTTTCTAAAAAAAAGGGGGGTTACATCAGTCTGGTTTCATAGATATGTGAGTGTTAATAATTTTTCGTTTAATGTTCAGTTTTTAAACATAGGTGTAGGAGACAAACTAAACGTGTGGGAGATGGTTATTGGAGATTATATATTTGACAGAGCGAAGCGAGAGAATGTACGCCACAGGCGCACCCATTATGGCCAGCGTCCAGCGCTTGCCTTTGGGCCCTGAAAGCTCTTTGGTTCTGGATTAAATTTTATGTATTCTCCTGCTTTTCCTGAGAGTAATTTTCCTAATTTTGATACATTTTAATTGAGAAAGATTGAAAAGTAAGGAGCCGGGGCTATTAAATCCTTCCCATTCTTTCTTAAAAAATCAGGACGAACAATTGTATCTGTTGAACCTGTGTAAATCAGCATACTGCAAGTTTTTCCCATCAATACACCCGTAGGCTTGTAGACGATTTTCCTCGAACAATGAATTTATTTTTTTATTTCTGATAAATGGAGTATTTTCAGCTGAACTTTGACTCATAATTACAACTAAATCCTGTTTTTGTGACGTGTCCCCTCTGTTGTTCCTTTGATTTGCCCCCCCCCCCCAGTAGCACAGCGGTATGTCTAGGACGTACAACGCTAGAATCCGGGTTTCGATACCCATGGTAGGCAGAGCACAGATAGCCCCTTGTGTAGCTGTGTGCTTAATTACAAACAAACAAATCCTTTGATTTGGTTGGGCTCTGTTTCATTAGCTTGATAACAGTTGTTGATTCCTTACAGTCTTGGTTGTAATGGCCAAGTTTCTCACAATTATAACAGTTACCTCATTCTCGTATATTTTCAAGAAAACTCTTATTCCATAACAGAGGCCTGCTAGGCACTAGCACACGGGCCCGTGTCTCGATTCTATTTGATAGTGCTCCTAATCCCCAGTTTGTGTCTTGAAAAATGGGAATAGAAAAACCATGATCGATATGATACTAAAACTGTATTTTATATATATTACTGCACCATCCTCCCGAGCTGAATACACATTATACACTACAAAAAACAAAGCAGCTAGAACAAGGCAATCACATTAATTTTCCTAACTATATTTTGTTGTCATTACAGAACAGAAACTAAATAACCAAAGAAATTTAAAATCTATTACTAAAGCAGGTCGAAAACATATGACATACGTGCAGATCGTAATTTCATACGTGAAAGAATAAACAATTTGTCAATTATATTCGACCTTGGTGTTTCTGTGTTTTACTAACAAATCCTTATATGCGGCTAATTAAATAGTCGATACTTGTATATTTACTATTATATTACAAATGATAACTTAGAAATAATGTCTTATAAAATTAATATTCCTAATTTCAAATAAAGTGAACAATGAAATATTTAAACTTTATAGATATCAGAACTTCATGCCCCTAGATGGCACAGTCATAAATTTGAGAAGTTATCTAAAGGCATTAATTAATAATATACGGAGTTAGAATAGATTAATAATATAGTGCTAAAACTAAAAATATATTTGATAAAAATTACACTTTACCAACTTAATCCAGTCCAAATCGTAACAGTTGTTCACATATGAGTGTGCTAATATAGATAGTGTCTTAATCCTTGCTATATCTGCTATATCCCAATCGTCTTGTGGATCCCTTGTATTGTCCATAAGGCCTTGTAGTCTCTGAATATAGATGACATAGTGTGGTTACCATGTTTCTTCTTACTTCACTTGGAAGTTATTATTAATAATAGTGAGCCCTGTAAAACTGGAGACTATTTATTATGTTATTAATTAACGTGTAATAAAATATCACACACACACATATATATATATTTATATAATAGGAAGTCTTAAAGTTCAAAATCTACTGCAGCTGTCAAACGATTTTTTTAACCATTATTTGTCAAAAGTCTGTGTGTGTTTGCTTATAACTGATAAACTGTTGAATCAGCAGTCACCTAACCTGGCATCCACCCTTAAGACCTACCCAGGGAGTGACATGGAGGTTGATGTTTGCATTTGACCCCTCCTATGTCACCCCATGGGCTTCCTATATCTTATTGGTGCATTGAATAAGTACACCATCTGGTAACTATATATAAAACAAACTTTGGCTTACATTTGTATTGACAGCGTTGCATGAAATTCAACACAAAACAAACAAAAATGACAACAATGTACTGTAATATAACATTCCACTGCATGTGATAAAATGCTGGATCATCATCTTTGCTGTATTCTTAGAAAGCTTCTTATTTGAGTGAATGATATTTTGACCTCACTGTGAAAGAAATGAAATTTTCATCCTCAACAGCACCTCACTCAACAGATTGGATAAATGCCAAGGACAGAAACCCTCATGGTTCAACTACAGTCATTCTTAACTTTGTACTGTTGACCACAGAGAGGACATCTAGTCAACAGCAATAGTGATATCAAGAGACTAGATTCAGTGGATATTTGACCTTTAATGCCACATCTAACTACCTGGTGGTATCCAGTCGATGTAGCTTATTGAATGATATCACAGCTGCCAACATGGTGTAGCAATATTAGATGATGTTACAACCACTAACGCTATGGTTCACAGTGGGTGCAATCATATTGGATGATGTAATAGCTCAAAGTGATGATTAATGACTTAATTCATCACTTTTTATAATTATCATCCCTTGCTGGTGATTCTTATTTCCTAATTAATTCTTAGGAAATAACACTAGTCAAAATGCAGTGGTCTTCATGCCCTCACGTGCTGGAACATCGCCTAATATATTGCCTCTCTGACACATAATATTGACTTACCCTCTGCCTCACTATTAACTTTAGGTGACTGATGATGATCAGTGTATGGAAAGGTCTTCCTAACTCATTAAATTTGATTACACAATGAATAACCCAACTTGACTGTTGGATGAGTTTAGTATCCTTTGGTATAGTCATCCAAGTTTTGTATTGTTTAATTTCAGTTCAAAAAAGAGATACTTTGGGTATCGATATATAAATCTTTCAGTTCAATTTGGACAGAGAGATTAACTCAAATAAATAATATTGTGTCTGCTTGCTCTAACTACACATGGAACTTGGATCCATGAATTCATCATTAGGCATGTTCTATTGCATGGAAGATAGTTATAGCTTCACCTTTATATCTTGAGATAGATAGCTATATTTCCTGTCAAGGAATCAAGTGATAGCATAGGGTGAACATTGTACTAGTAAGAAAGACATTAAAGTATTTTTACCCATCACTCACTGGTTCAACACCCCTCAAGACACTTTCCCTTTTATTGTTTTTTATCAATGAATTGTCTTTGTGTTTCAGTTATGTTTAGGCCCGGCATGGCCAGGTGGTTAGGGCGTTCGACTCACAATCTGCGGGTCGCGGGTTCGAATCCCCGTCACACCAAACATGCTCGCCTTTTCAGCCGTGAGGGCGTTATAAAGTGACGGTCAATCCAACTATTCGGTGGTAAAAGAGTAGCCCAAGAGTTGGCGGTGGGTGGTGATGATTAGCTGCCTTCCCTCTAGTCTTACACTGCTAAATTAGGGACGACTAGCGCAGATAGCCCTCGTGTAGCTTTGCGCGAAATTCAAAAACAAACAAACAAACACACCATAACAACAAACATAGAAACAGTTGTGTTTTTCCTAAATAATGTCTGTTAATGAATTTTTGTGCTGACTTTTTATTTACTGGTGGACTCATTCAAATCTAGAACATAAATGGACCCATACTCTGTAATATCATGTCTAATGAATTTCTGCTCTTATTCTGTGAGTTTGAATATACCACAGAGTAGTAAGGAAGGATAAATGTTGGCGTCATGGCCTTGGATATCGTTATTTGCAGGTTTTTGCTTTTTTGGAGTTGGTGTCTGACTGAACCATTCGACACACAATAAACATACTAAAGAATCAAAAGCTGAGAAAATGTGACCAGAAAAAAAGTTAGCTAGGTCTTGGACGTTTATTTATGCTGCAAAAGTTCTCTTCATAAAAATAGGCATCCTATCCAATTGAGGATCAGAGATGAGGTGCTATTGGTGGACGATAGTTATCAACTGGAGCTGTATTGTTCACATATAAGATAGTAGTTACTCACAAAAGATGGCGAACAGTGGAGCAGAATGTAGGTATCTCACTGACCTCCAGCCAAGAGCAAGGCACTGTGAGTAGATGAGAGCCATCAACAAGAGCCATATCTCTGGCAGGTGACAGAGCAGGCACTCACAAGAGATGAAGATATTTGGGTAAAACAAAACTTATCTGTGATGGGAGGTAAGTTTTTGGTCAACCATAGGTTGACAAATAGCTTAGAACTCGTCACATTACAATCCGGGGAGAGATTCACATGAAACCACTTGTACACATGATAGGGAGAAAGCAGATCACTTCCCTGCTGTTTAAAGAAGCAGCCAAGGAAGAGTTGGTCATTTGATAAAGCATTTCAGGTCAGTCATTGCCTGGAAGTCATGATTTCAGGAACAGGTTATGCAACATATGATCCTGAGATAAGTAAGTCTGGTCCTTGATGCTGAAGAGTTCTTGATGGAAGTGCAGCTTTGATACTGATAGAAGTAGCCAAGCTGCACTGATATTTTGATCTGATGGAAAACCAAGCCATCCATCATGCCTAGTATCTCTCTCAGAATGTGGGTGCTTT